GATTTTATGAAGCATGAAAAGAGACCTGTAAAAGTCTTCGACGTCAATAAAAATACCTAATCCTTTTTAAACATTCCTGTGGGAAATGCAATTCTTCATGCGTGCTATATATATGTATAGAAAGAGGGAGAGAGAATCGAGACAGAAACGATTCTACTTTATATGTTGCACATCTGCTCTTTTGCCATTCGGTTTTAATAGCTTTGCTGGTTTGAAGTGCTTTTCCATCACTTATACCAACTTTCAATTGTCAACTCGGTCGCTAACGTTGTTCCTACTCCTATACACTAAACTTTAGGTCTATACAATTTTTTTTCCATGTTATAAAGCCTTATTCTGAATATCTGTACTCAATTATCTCGTATTTTCAGAGAAATAGAACCAGTAGACTATGCAAGATACACTAACTCTATACAGCTTTAGAACGTCAACTCACTTGTCACCGTGTTGTTCCTCCTATACACTAACCTTTATACATTTTTTTTTTTTCGTGTTATATAGCCTTGTTTTGAATATCTATACTGAATTATATGAAAATATCGTGTATTTTCAATCAAATATAGCATGAAAATATGTATGATACAAGTACATTAATTCTATATAACTTTCAATTGCCAACTAACTTGCTAACGTTATTCCCCTTCTACACTTTCTTCTATTATAATTTCTTCTATATTTTTAAATTAAATTATTATTTTTTTCGTATTGTATAAAGTTTAAATATTTGTGACTTAATTAAGCTAAATAATAATATATTTTCAATTTGATGAAGCCCTAGTCTGACTTTGAAGTGATCTTCACACGCTTGCACCAACTTTCAATTGTTAGCTCAGATGCTAACGTTCTTCCTCTTATACAATCTGCTAATATCATTCCTTAAATACATTTTGAATGAAAATTATTATTTTTATGTCACAAAATATTTCTTTGAATATTTGCACCTCGATTATACTTTCAGTTTATAGAGTCACGATTATATATGGAAGATTCACTTTTGGATAAAATATTTTAATAAAATGTTATTTTTTAAAACATTTAAAACGAATATATTACTTTATTAAATCTCGGCGATTAAGTAAAAAGCAGTACTTTGCCAAGAATTGTGCAAATTCTCCACAAATTCTTGTTAAGCATCCTCATCATTTTCTTATTTTTAATGCTGCAACATCTTCGTGTAAATCTCTCTATTTTCATTTTAAATATAATTTTTCCTCTTAAAATCACTACATAAACATTTCTAAATGCATTTTTTCCTACTTATAATGCTCTACTTAATGTATCTCGCTTTATAAACCCAGCATCTTCATCTCATCCGCATCCTCTTCGTTATTTTCTTTAAAGCCATTTATAAATATTTTCCAAATTTTTAGGAAAGAAATATTTTTAAAAATAAACATTTTAATCACAGGATATACTGTTACAATTTTTGAAAAAAATTATTTAAAGCAATAATTTTAAAGATAAACTGGAACAGCTTTCAAAACTTGTCACCAAATATCCAAGCACAAAAATACATTGATTAAAAGTCCATATTCCCTCTTGCAAATCCTTCTATTTTAATGCTGTTGCATATTTATCAGTTGAAATAAGAGAAAGAGAATAAATATTGTAGCGATATAATTAAAAAATTTGTCATGAAATTCAAATTTTGACTTGTGAAACGGAATATTGTTTAATAGGAGAAGAGAAAAAAAAAGAGGAGGAGGTAGAGGAAGAAGAAGAGCCATGAAGAATTTTTTAAACGTCTCGAAAGCTAACTTAAATATAGGAAAATTTTAAGAATAATAAATTTTTAAAGATGTCAAAGGCTTTAACTTTTATACAGAACACGATCTTGCTGTATACTTTATTCCTATTGCATTGCTTGAACTTAATGTAGTTAGCAGTTCAGTTGTTTTTGTGCCCGAAGGCATCCCTACTTTTAAGTCTTCTGCTAGTTGTTAGATATTATAATTGGATGGCAAATGCCTAAGGCTGATCAACTTTTAATCATATCATCATGAAGCAAGATTTGCTACGTTGCTTCTTTAATTATCAAGCGCTTAAATGAATTGAATCGAGACGTACTTTGATTATCCCTTCTTCGATGCTCCAATGATTTTTAAGTTATTAAGATTTTTCTATGCTATCTTTTTAATCCGAAAATGTACTTTTTGGTGGATTACAATTGACCCTTTTACTTAATGAAAATCTCGTTGTAGGAGGGTTGCGCGTGCATTAATTATGGTTACAACGTCGTTACGGTTAAGCCGTAACCAGTCTAAGTAAAGAAAAATAATGGCGATATCTGTAACTATACAGGCGTCAACAGAGAACATGACGTTCTTACAAAGATTGAAAGCAACCAAGCGAAAGCGAAGGGTTGCACAGTGGTCAGGAACGACAGTGGAAAGGCGGATTGCCATCCAGATGTGACCGTCCATTTATTCGCTAAATGGAAGAAATAGAGTGGGTAAGTACTTGTCCATGAGTTGTACAATGTCGACACTGTCAGTAAATGTGAGCAATTACCCACTCACGTGTCCGGTCAGTTGGAATCATCGATAGCACTTCTTCCTCTACAATTTGTAAGGAAATTTACTTTAAACCCTCAACGGCTTACTTGCTCACTTCTTTATAACGTGGTGTCACCCAAAATGTTTCTTTCTCTACAATGAAATTTAACTTGAACTTTCTACAGCATATTTTTACGCCGTCGTCAATGACATTTTTAAACTCTACCGCCATTTTTTTCTTCGTTTATTACGAGACAATTAACGTTAAATCCTATTATTTTATAGAGGAAGAGTTCCTTACCGTTTACGGAAGGTTTTACAAATGATTTCTGATGTAAAAATTGCATAAATTTACTTGAAACTTCATTAAATTTCGCTTATTCTCTCATATACAAATTCGCAATCGTTGTTAAATCTATAGGTGTTAAAGCTTGTTTAATCTGTAATTTAATTTAATCATTAATTTAATGTAATCTTCTATTATCTACTGTCATCTTTCTGTACGATTTATGAGTGTAAAAATTCCTTAAAATTCCCTAAAATTGTTTGTTTAACGTTCTTCCACTTTCTTAATAAAATTTAAAAAGTACTTGTTTCCTATTTTTATTTTAGGTTTAACCTTTATGGTGACACATAAAATTGTGAAGAGAAGTGAAAGAAGAATGTAAAAAGCATCAATTTAGTCGTAAAAAAGAGTAGAATGTGTGAAATCAAACGGTTTTCTAAACAGATTCTGGAGGAGGAAAGACTAAGATGAGCTGTCCCATACGTAAGGATAAACAGAATGTTTATTTATATACTTAGGATGGATAAGCATATATGGATATGCATGCGTTTTGTACATAAAAAGACGAAGGTTTTGAGCGTGTAAAAAAGAAGAAAAGTTAAAAAAAAATTAGGACGTATCTCCTAATTATAATTAGAAGGAACAGAAGATAAAAGAATATAAAAAAGAGGAACGTTTTTCTCTCCCCGAGCAGGACACCACAGTGACTGATTAAAGCTCAGATGGGGTTTTCCATTTACGAAAAGGCGGAAATGATCTTTCTGGCCCCTTCCAACCCCCCTAGCAGTCCGCGGCAATTAGGGAAGAGTTAGAAATTACCCTCTGCTTAATCGCTATCTAGTGCTGAGGGCGGAGCTGGTTTGTGTGTGTTTAACGTGCATGAAGATACCATTGAACCCTAGCAACCTCTTCTCAAGATTTAAATTGTAATATTTTGGGCGGAGGTTTACTTAAAGGATCCATCACATATCATCTGGAGCGGAGACGAAACGTTTTAACATCATTTGCAATCTTAGTCGTTCGGTTACCGACGATATTATATAACCAAAAATAATTATTATAATTTAGATTAATGATGTATATTTAATTTGGCAAAGTTAATTATTCGGTTTGCCGTTATAACTTTGCATTCCGATAATTTTCCTAGAGATAAGCCTGGAAATGAAGCCTGACTTATGTTACGTATCTTAACGGCTGTTTCCTGTCTTGCAGAAAATCCTCAGAAATTTTTCTTTTTCTCATTTATAACATCATAATCGCTCACAACTGATGAAAGTCTATCTTTTATTACCCTATTTACACAAAGTAAAATTTATTCGAGGTGTTTAAAGAGCGCCATTTTTGCACCTAACGTAAGAAAAATCTTCTAGGTAATTACCTTAAAAAAATAATAATTATTAACAGAGGCTGGGAGATAGAAATTTCCGGCAAACAATTGCAGGGAATGTTTATAATTTATGTCTACCTGTAAATTAGTTGTGTGGAAGAAAACATCTTAAGAGTAACGCACGTCAAGAAGGAGTCGCGAATGGCAACGACAATGGACTAATCCACAGACAAGGCGAATGAGAATATATGGAGGCAATCAACTGCTCGGAACTATCCATTCTTCAACCTCTACCCTCTCTTAGTATTTGTTGGTTAAGGATTTTGTACGCTGGCTGAGTCTACAAACTGTTTACAAGGAAGGTGACACGAATGGTGGAGGAGCTAGGCAATAGTAAAGGGCAATATCTCACCTCCAGGCATTTATGTGCGTGTTGTATACAGCATCTGAGGTGAAGACGTTAAAGCAAAACCCCTGGAAAATATTACCAACATTTTCTATACATAAATACAGTTAGATATATTTAGATTTTTATACAAATTTACACAAAAATTTCTAACTTAATGGCGCTTACTACTCTGCTCTTCCTACGACAATTGTTCGATAAGTACACTTTTTCTTAATTTTTAAAGTTTTTTTTAAAGTAGGAATGACGAAAAGAAACGTTTTCTACTGTTTTATAATACAAACAACCGCTATAAGTATTTATTGATCTGGAAAATCGATAAACATGTCAGTTAAGTTGAGTGGTAATCTACTTTAGAAATCTAGAATGCCCAATGCTATGTATAGCAGGTGTTTCGAGACCAGAAAACATTTAATCAGTCCAGAAACATGCATTTTTTTCAGTTACTAAGTCATACGATACAGAAAAGAGAAAAGGAACACTTACTTTCGCGGACAGGAGGTCTGCTCTTCTGAGGTGCATCTGAAAAAGAAGAGAGAAATTATATTCTAAGATATAAAAAAGCACTTCTTTTATTGAAAATATCGAAAGTAAAGAAGATTTTTCTTTAAAAATATTCTCTCTTTTCTATCAACTTGTTTGCTTAAATGCATTTTTAACATAAACATGTCATTAATTTTGTAACCAAATACTACCTCAGGGTTTTATTGGTGTAGCTTTCACTTTTTTTTTTACAAAGAAATAACTCATTCAACCGCATTCTTCTTTAACTTCCCTTATTCATCTCTTTAAATTCTTACATAAATAAGCTATAACGTAATAAAACTTACGAATTTAAACGTATAAATATTTTAAAAAAACATGTTCTTAGGCCATTATATAATAACCGTAATGATGTAAAGTATTGAATTATCGATGGAGGCGATGGTTTATTTTTTTCTTTCGCTTATAATAAAAGAGGAATGTAAAAAAAGGAGGGTAAAGCTAATATAAGAGAACTCCAAACTGATCTCTTTTCTCACTTCAGAACTGCATTTGTAGTAGAAGAGCTCCTTACGCGAATAAAAGACCGGAAAAGAGACAGCAGAAAAAAAAAGATAAGAGCACTTCTTCTGGATGTAGTTTCGAGGGATTTTTCTATACTAGTCTCTATAAAATCACGTTTCCTCATCTCGTGTGGTTAGCTACTGATAACAATCACACTATACACACATTACCGAATTTGAAAACGTCAGGTATTTGACAGTTTTGACTTTCTTTACATTGCATTTCTTCCTTTCTCTTCCTTTTCTTTCTTCCACTTTCTTATTCAGTTATGTTAAATACATCTCCACATTTCTACAACACAAAGAGATTCGATGCTAATCTTTAACTAAAAAAAATCAAGGAAAAAAAACCGCTAAATTTATTATAAACTTCAATACAATTCTCGAGTGTACTTCATCAGGAAGCTATACTAGTTTTATTGGTCTACAAAATTATATTCTGCAGGTTCTTGCGGTTAAGAAATGATAAAAGGTCTACTAAAAAATTTATTAGATCATATAAAATGAATTTAAGTAGATTTTATTATATTTAACGCTATAAATCTCCATCAGAAACTGTTGATTTGCTATTTAAAATATCGAGCATCCTTTCATCAGATAAGAGTTTTATAAATTTCGCTTGGAAGATTTATATATACAGGGTGGCCCAAAAATCAGTTAACCACTGATATGTCTTACTTTATAATAATTACACTAAAATGATTATATTTCTGTACAAGTTTTGTAAAAGACAAGGGAGTTTAAACCCAAATTTGTATGCACACGTACACATGGAATACACAAAAGAAACACATAGTTAACTGACTATTGGGCCACTTTATATGTTGACGTAATAAAAATTAATTTATAAATCTAACATTATCAAAATAATCATAAAAGCAATCTCTAAAATCACACCTAAATAATGATCTTATATGATGAGGATGCTACAAGAGTGATTTTGGAGAAGATAAAACAAAACCAATAAAGGTATATTTTCTGTTGAAAATCCAAAAAGAAGAGCTTTAAAGATATATTTTTTTATTATAAAAAGTACTATTAAAATCGAATAGTAGATATAATCGATTTATATAATGTTTCTTGGAGGATATAGAATAGAATAGATTTAAAGCGTGTTTACTACTTTAAACTATATTTATACTTGTTAATTATTAAAGATTTTACAGTTGAAAATATGAAAAATTTTATGAGAAAATATACTGACTACTTCGTTAATTTTTAGCATGAAAAAGAATTGCATCTAGTAGAAAATTATGTCCTTTCAGAAACGTTTACAGGCATATTTATTCAGTTTGAGTTTTGAAAAATCACGTTGCATAAACTCCAAATACTTAAACTATGATTTATAGATGAGAATCTAGATCAAATTTTTTAGTAGGATTTAGTGGTTTTTCCGCAAAAAATTGCCGAAAAAACTACTAAAATCAGTAGATTTTTTCGGTTATAAAATCAATAAAAATTGATAACATTCCGATATGTTTCCCTTTAAAATCGATACATTTATAAGTTTGAATTATTAAAAAAACATTTTTTTAATTCTAATATAATTAAAAAATAATAAAAAAGGGGGTTTCACAGTTTTAAATACACACCAGAAACTAAAAAAGTTTCACCAATTTTCAGTTAAATCGATCGGAGTTAAGCTATTTCGAGTTATCTGTGCATTAAGCAAGACACGTTTAAAACACATTTTGGCGTTTTAAAATTTAAAAAAATTAGCAGAATTTTAATAATAATTAGCAAATTAATTAAAAGATAATCCCATCAAACAATTATTTAATTAATTTAGTTCGAGAAGGGGGGCGAAGAGTGAAAAAAGAGAGAGAAACACAAGAAAAAGTCTATACTCGCAATAACCAAATCCACTTTATTAAAGCAGTTGGAAAGGGGTAGAAAGAAAAAGAAGGAGGAGATAAAGTGGAAAATGGTGTTAATTGAAACCTTAGAAAATTATCCACGGAATCTTTACTCTTAGTTTTAATTAAAAGCTAAGATATGAAAGACTTAAAGCAATGTTACGTCACGGAGGACAGAAATGGAGTCAATGACGTTTATTTGTCTAAACAAGACGTGGAAACAGGCCGATCTGACAGAAGCTGTCAACGAATCTTGTATGCTTTTGGCAAGCAGGGAATTAATTTCTGTTCGACTCTAGCAATTTTCGTTAAATTCGGTACAGTCCACTACATTCTGTAGGGTTGCAATTGCAACAACCATCGACCCAACTTCCCTGTGAGACTTTGAAAAACCTTCAGCAATAATTATGCCAGTTCTAGTCTAGTCGATATTAATTGCGAGAACGGTTTGACTAGTTGGTAGCAAAGCCCTTTCTCCTCTACAGTGATTAATGGCGAGCATTTGCATGTCGCAAACTCTTTATCGATTTTTATCGCTTTTCTTCTCTATTGCCAGGTAAAAATTAGCTAAAGAGTAGAAATTTTACGTGTTTCTAAAGTATTTTCTATTATTTTTTTATATATGAGTTTATATTTTAGTTTAGAAATTAAAGAAGAAATCTTCTTGAGTTCATCAATTGATTGCAATGGATCTCCCTCGTCCATGGATAAAAGAATTAGCTGAAAAGTAGAAATTTTACATGTTTCTAAAGTATTTTCAATTATTTTTTTATACAAATAAGTTTATATTTTAGAAATTAAAGAAAAAAGTCTTAAGTTTACCAATTGATTGCAATGAATCTTATCTCTCTCATCCCATGGATGCGCTATATTAAAAGTTTGCTCTTTAAGAATTAAAAATTTTTTTTTGGAGGGGAAATTTAAATTACTTTCTTTCTTTGAATTTTTGGTGATATTCATCAGTGAAAAATTTTTCAACACATCTCAAATTTTCTCTTTAGAATAACGAATCGTGACTCGATTACCGAACTGCTCATCGCGCGATCTGAGGATGAGGGGAAGAAAATGGATAATTTTACAAAACAGGAAAAAGTGTATTAAAATTCTAAAAGTTTGATAATATAGAAGGATATAAAAACAAATTTTTTTCTTAATAAAAACTTTTTCGGGTAGAATTATAATAGGGAAAAGTATTTTTTTTAATTGAATCGATTCATTACGTAAGGATACGAGCGTTTTACATGAAAATCACGTTGACTTACACAACCTTAAACAAAATATCCAGGTTCCTGTTATTTTTTCCCGTTCACCCTGTCTCTATTCTTGATAAAATTGCTAGAGATAATTTCCACTGTTTGAATTTTTATTAACAGAGTAACTTGCACGCGGTAATAAAATACAATCTTCGAATTAACGAATGAAAACTCGATAGGAGATTCAATTAGAATTCTTCTTAGATATGTAGAAAGATAGGCTTTTAACAGTTCTTTTTTCCGATAAGCAATGTGTAAGTAAATACACAAACGTGCATTTTGCATATTTAACGTTTAAACGTTAGAAAAAAAATGAAGTCAAATGTTTACTGATAGTAAAAAAAAGTTTCCTTATTTAACTCTAAATTATTTATATTAGCTTTAATAAATGTTTAAAAATGATAAAATTAAATAAAAGTAGTTTCTATAAACATAAGCGGTTCGTTGAAGAATAATTGATAGCTTTTAAACAATTATCAAAAACTGTTGATTTCATTGGTAAAATGTTAGCGTGTTTATTCGTATAATTGATTTGAAATTAACCAATCATCAAAAAATATCTCCGTTGCGACGAATAACGTATATCTTACAAGTATTGCAAAGGACTACCACAGCGTATTTGTTATAAGCTACACAAACTGCAGCTTAGGACCTCACATTTTTACATGTATCATTATCTAGCGAAGATTCTATTATAAAACCACAGCAATAAGTCTAGTCCTAGGGACGCCAAAAGCCCAAAATATATCACTTAAGGTTATATTTATTGGTTTATAAATCTGATACCACATAATTAGACATATCTATACTGTGCATGTGATATCCGAAAACACGTAAGCGAATATAAATCGAGTATAAACAGTATAGAGCGCGTATGTGCATTAAATAAATAATATCTAGTAATAAGATTCAATACAGGACATTCAATAACAGTTAGTTCTATCTTACAATAGGGGAATTTCAGTAATTAAACGATATAAACGTGTACAGTATATAACACTTCTATATAGTTTAATACGGTTACCTAGCAATACAATAGGTATAATTACAGAAGATATCAAATGATATACGGTAATAGTTCAGAACAATAGAGGTAAACACGAAGCATAACTAACAACTAAGCTTAACTAGAGCTAGAAATTAAGAGAGTAAGTTCGCTTCCATCTCATAAAAATGCAGTTATTGTACCAATATCTGGCCATATAAATGTTCACAAATGATAAGTAGCAATAAAGGAGCGTACAGTATGCACTGTATATACTTTCTTCAATCTATATTTAACATATGGACATATTAATCTAACCTTCTACACTCGGTATTGAATTTCTTCACGCTTCAATTCATTGTAAGCGTTAGTTTGCAGCACA